TAATAATAATAATAATAATAAAAATTATTTATACCCCGCCCCTCTGCACAGCAATCGGGGTGGCTATATAAATTGTCCAGGGTCTGTCTTCTCAAATCTACCAACATCAAATGTGCAACTTGCCATCAAGAGCGCCAATGCTCTTTTGCAAAACAGCATCCTTGCGTTTCATTTTAGAACAGAACTACTACTAGCTTCATTTTTAAATCTGTTCCTTTCTTTCTAAAGATCCTGGATCATAAAAGAAACACGGAGCAATCTCTGTGTTGGGGGCGGGGGGAGTTTTCTGGTTAGGATGAATATGCATTAAAAAAGAGATTTTATACAATAGGAAGCTAATTACTAGTGTGGCAAGAACAGAGTAAATAACAGCAAGAACAGCTTTGTCTTCTTTGCTGCCACCCCATACATTCTTGTAAGAAGGCGAGAGAACAATTGTGGCCTACAAGACTGCAAAATGCAGAGAGAAAAGAGAAAGAAAAGAAAAGAAAGTTACATTTAAAACTTCAGGGATGTAATCAGAAAGAGACAAGGGTCCAAAGACTGAGGGTGCATCTACACTGTAGAAATAGTGCAGTTTGATACCACTTCAAGTGCTGTGGGTCCATTCTATGGAATCCTGGGATATGTAGTTTTACAAGGTCTTTAGCATTCTCTGCCAAAGCATCCTGGTGCCTCACAAAACCTCACATTCAGCTTCTGTTTAAAAACCTCCATAGGAGGAGATTCCACCACTCTTCGAGAGAAGTCTTCCACTGTCAAACAGTTCTTACCATCAAGAAAGGTGGAGTCTCTTTTCCTTTTTAGAGATGTTGAGGTGGAACCTCTTTTCCTGAAGTTTGAGCCCACTGCTCCATGTCCTGTTCTCTGGAGTAGCAGAAAACAAGCTTGCTCCAGAAATATTGAACATTCAAGAACATATAGATATAACAAAGATTCTAATTTTGACATCTACACTTTAATTTATCTTAGTTATGAGATGATAGTGATGCAAGAATGAATTTATATGTACATTAGAATGTACGTATATAGGTACGTTTGTATTTGTATTTGTAAGTACTTGTATTTGTATGTATGTGTTTTTGTATGAATGTAAATGTATAGGAAATAAAATTTGTTTCAAAAAAACAAAAACAAGCTTGCTCCATCCTCAATATGACACCCCTTCGAATACTGAAAGAGGGCTATACATGAGTCAACAGTGTGATGTGGCAACTAAAAAGGCCAATGTGATTTTAGGCTGCATCAATAGAAGTATAGTGTCTAGATCAAGGGAAGTAAAAGTGCCATTCTATTCTGCTTTGGTCAGGCCTCACCTGGAATACTGTGTCCAGTTCTGGGCACCAACATTTCAAAAAGGATGTTGAAAAACTGGAGTGTGTCCAGAGGAGGGCAACTAAAATGGTGAAGGGTCTAGAAACCATGCCTTATGAGGAAAGACTTAGGGAGCTTGATACGTTTAGCCTGGTGAAGAGTTGATATGATAGCCCTGTTTAAGTATTTGAAAGGGTGTCATATTGAGGATGGAGCAAGCTTTGTTTCTGCTGCTCCAAAGACTAGAACATGGAACAATGGATGCAAGCTACAGGAAAAGAGATTCCACCTCAAATTGTCCAGGGTCTGTCTTCTCAGATCTACCAACAGGAGGAACATTTTGACAGTAAGAGCAGCTTGACAGTGGAACACACTCCCTCAGAGAGTGATGGAGTCTCCTTCTTTGGAGTTTTTCTTCTTCAAACAGAGGCTGGATGGGTATGCTTTGATTGAGAGTTCCTGCATGGCAGAGGTTTGGACTGGACGGCCCTTGTGGTCTCTTCCAACTTTATGATTCTATGATTCTATGCCACCTCTTAACCTTCTCTTCTCCCGGCTAAACATACCCCAGCTCCCTAAATCTCCCCTCACAAGGTTGGTTTCCAGACCCTTCAACATTTTGGTTACCCTCTTCTGGACACTCTCCAGCTTATCAACATCTTTCTTGAATTGTGGTGCCCAGACATGGACATGATATTCCAGGTGAAGTCTTACCAAAGCAAAATAGAATAGCACATTTATTTCCAAAGAGCCAGTGTGGCGTAGTGGTTTGAGCTTGCACTGCGTCTCTGCTGACCAGGGTTTGGGCAAGTCACACATGGCAAACCTCCTCTGAACAAATCA